TGATAGTTCCAGAGGACATTCGGAACTGACCATCATCTTTTTCTTGGCCTGCAGCTGCTGAGTTCATGTTGCCTGCCATCTCATCCACACACATGAGGGAGCTTCTCTGCAGGCATGGTGTCTGCCACACCCAAGGCTTCCACTTGGGTGAGCAGCCAGTCTGAGCCTTTTCCCAGCCCCCCAAGAGCACAGCCCTCTCTCTCCACTCTTGACAGATGGCTACACATCTGTGACAGGGACAGTGCATCCTTGTACCTGAAGCGAAGGATGGAGTCTGATACATAGTAGGCACTTAGCAATTTTGGCAAGAAACTGAGTTCTTCACGGAGACAAGTCAGATCGTTTTGTACGTGACCTTGGAAGGTCTACCTATCTACCCACGCTCTTCCGCTGTTCTGCTCGGCACAGCCTTTCTATTGGAGGAAAAAGCGGTTATGAAATCCTCGGAAGCACACTGGAGGCGGAGGGGTGGGGGCAGATGGAGAGAGGAAGTGAGCTGGAATTTTCAAGGAGTGAAATATAAGTGACACCTCTAAAAATTTAATTACCTTTGGATGGGACAGCAAGAAAAGGACAGTCTGTGGGGCACTACTCCCATCTAGTGGCAAATCTGCAAATGACAGCTGTGTTAAGAGTCTGAACCAAAAGGTTCCATTGTCAGGGTAGATAAAAAAATCTCATAATCTTAAAATACTGACATTCAAAGGGCTTCATTAGGTTCAATCACAGGCAGGTTGTCAACACATGCTGAGAACTCCTGCTGGCCCAGGTACGGCCATGTACTGGAGTAGTGGTGAGGGGGGCAAAAGCAGACTCAAGCCCCACCCCAAGCCCAAGAGCAGGTGGGAGCATCAGGAAGACTGGGATCTCACCGAAGAGCACATCTGCTTGGCCTGCATTCTTAGAAACAAGGCGTCCTACCCTCAGATCCACCCACCTTTCCCAGATTCTGTTTAGGGCCCCAGGAACTTAGCTGAGGAAAAAAATTGAACCTCACACTGAAATTTAATATATCCTTCAATTATGGATTAGGCAAAAAGCTGTGATAGTGGAAGCTATGACTTCATCATTGGTGGAAATTATAAATATTTGATATTACAATTGTAGCAGAGATCTCCAATCATTTGGTCATCATTACTTTGAAAGTACAGTGATTATTAGACCTGCTGCTAGATCTTATTATACTAATTAAGAAGCACATCCATTTCTAAGCAGTATTTTTTTGGTACCAGGGATTGAACTCAGGACCTTGTGCTTTCAAGGCAGGTGCCAGAACCACTGAGCTAAATCCCTGGCCCTAGCACATGCATTTCTAAATCGCTTTTTTAAATATTTTGATGCCTGTATTTTAATGTGATTTATTCCTTTGAAGTCTTCTTTTGTTTTGTTTTGTTTTTGGTACCAGGGATCGACCTCAGGTCCTTGTGCTTGCAAGGCAAGCAGCGGAACCACTGAGCTAAATCCCTGGCCCCCTCTTTTGTTTTTTAATTTTGTATATTTGAAAACATCCAAATAAAGAAGTCCATGGCACACAAAAAGTTAAAGGTCACTGCTCTGGAAGATCAAAGAAGGGTCAGGTGACCGTGAGCTAGCCAAGCCAGAGAGGGCTTCCCAGAGGAGATGGGACAGAGCTCACCTCTCTTGATTGAAAAGATTCCATGGAGCATTTCAATACAGCCCTTATCTGGATAGTGGGGACAGGATTTTGCAAAAGCAGAAGACAGGGAGGCTTCTATGACTTCTCCGGTGTTCACCTCAGCAAGGGCTCCCTTGGGAAAGAATCTGAGAAGCTACTTCATACTAAAAGATAAATGACTAGAGACAATCTCATTTCAGAATGATTTTCATACAATGAGACTCAGCATTTACAAGCACAAAGGGCAACCCTGTGGGAAGAAGGCAGCTGGGTAGCACACTGGCTCAGGCTTGCATCTCCCTGTCCCCCACACAGAAACCAAGGGGAGCCCACTGGAACCCCAGGAAGAGGAACCACCCTGCTTAGAGCAGCAGAAACGAGGCTGCTTAGAAGTCTTGGCAACAGAGCCTGGGGACGGGATCTCTAGAGCAGTGCCTCTCACAGTGACTAGAGCACAGGAGTCACCAAGGATCTGTTGAAACTAGATTCTGACTCAGCTGATCTTAGGTGGGGCCTGACGTTCAGCATGCATAACCTCTACCCCCAAACACTGAGTGGCATCACATTTCTCCGCACACACCTCCCTGCTACTGTGGTCCTTTGGTCCGTGAGAGAAAACATGCTGGCTCAAACAGGGTAGCAGTCCCAGTTTAAGCCCCAAATCCGTGGTTAGTGGGGCAGGGTGGGAAGGTGTGAGTGCTCCCACTTTCTTGGAGCAGGCAAAATGTGAGCCCAGCCTCCATCAGAGGGAGGTACCAAGCCTCAGACAGGAGGCCACCCCCTGAGGCAGAGGAGATCCTCAGCTGTGGCCCTGGGACTTCCTCTCTGGCTCCATGGAGCCTCCATGTGTCTCTACCACTGCTCTGTGCCATCTTGTCCCCACCCGGCCACTTGCCTGGGCTGCTGCTAAGATCATTGATGGGTTCCTGGCTCCCATTAACCTACAGGCCATAAAGATGGTCGCTTCTAAAGCCCTTAGGAAAGAACACCCAGGTGCACCTGGCTTAGCACCCATTGCATCCTTGTCCCTTCAGACATGGTCGCCATGCTCCCATCTCACACCAACAGAGTCCAGTGCAGTGCAGCACACCACAGACTGGCTCAGCCATCAGCCCTTACCCACTACCCACTGCACCCAGGCTCCTGACATCTAAGCCCTCCGCCAAGACCACCTTGACTTGGCTGTGTGTCCAATCTCTGCTCTCAGGTTCACAGACCATGGCCAGACCCCCACCCAATCTTTATAGAGATCTCCACCGCCTAGGGCAAGGGAAATTCGGCCTACTTCAGCCACTAAGACCAGTCCCACACACTCCCATCCCTGCCAAGGTACGAAGACCTCAGCCAGCTCTGTCCCCTCCCTGCACAGCAGGGCCCTGTATCCTTGGCCAGCACAGCTGCATGCCCTCCCCGACTTCCTGACCCCGTGGGAGGATGGTGGGAAACGCATGGCCAGAAAATGTGGGCTATGATTTCACACAGGAGGCCTCCATGCTGAGACACTGTCCCTTTCCACAGGGAAGTTCAGAGCACCTGCCCGCAGCCAGGTGGATTCCATGCAGTCCCCGGCTGTTCTGTGTTCTTCGAGGAGCCCCGCCCCATGCCCCTCTGCTTCGTGTTTTGAGGCAAGAGCAGACAAGAGCGTCTCTGGTCTGGCTTCTTCAGAGAGGATTCCCAGTGTCCTGGGGGGGGGGGGGTGTCCCTAGATGCACAGGCTGGAACAGGTGGGACAGGCCAGCTCTTCAGGTGACCAAGTATCTCAGGCCTTACTGAGTGCTTTATCTAGTTTGTTTTTCATTGTGTCAATCCTCTTAAGCACTCTAGGTAACTTATTTTAGTTTGGGGTTTGTTTGTTTAAGACAGGGTCTCTGGGAGAGGGATTTAGCTCAGTGGTTTCACCGCCTGCTGCACAAGCACAAGGACCCGAGTTCAATCCCCGGCATCCCCCCCCCAAAAAAAAAGACAGGCTCTCACTATGTAATCCAGGCTGGCCTTGAACTCGAAGTGATCCTCCTGCCTCAGTCTCCCAAGTACTGGGATTACAGGCATGTGCCACAACATCCAGCTATTTTAGTTACTTTTTAGATGAGAAGCTGAAGTTCAGAAATTTCAAAGATAAAAAGTAGCAGGCCCAGGATGTCAACTAAGGTCTGGCCAAGTCCAAAGCTCAAGCCCATTCCTCACCCAAGGCTGGGTCTTTAGCCCCTACTTTAGAGACAAAGACAGACAGCAGAAATGTTCTCATATCTTCTGAAAAGCTCTAAGCAGGGTCTGTGAGAGAAGGCCAAGGTCTCACACCAAGGGGTGTGCAGGGAGTGGCAGATCATGCTGTAAATGTCCCAAGTCCCCCTTCCATCAGGAAAATATTCAATAAGGAAACACAGGGGGGTCTACAGGGCCACAAAGCCGGCAGGCACAAGCAGTGGCCAGCCATGGAGGGCTCCATCTTGACCGTGTTGGTGGTTCTGTCTTCAAGGACTGCCTCCCTTCCCAGGTGCCAACACAAGGTCCCTCCAGCTGTGCCCGGTCACCAAGACCTTCCAGACAGCCACCTCTGGGGAAATGGTTGGTGCCTAGGGACCAAGGCTTTTGGGAGGAAAGGAGAATAGGAACTTCCTCTTCAACAGGCAGGATGAAGTCCATCATTTCCAGAAGGCCCAGGGGACTGTTTTTAAGCTTGGGCCTGGGATGTTTTCAATGCTATCTCATTAAAATTTCTGGCAAAAGGGCCGGGAATTTAGCTCAGTGGTTCCGCCACCTGCCTTGCAACCGCAAGGTCCCGAGTTCGATCCCCGGTACCAAAAAAAAAAATTTCTGGCAAAGAAAGAGTTCAGATTTGAGGGAAAATACTATTTATTCTCCTAGAGAATGCTGTCATAATCTGAATTTGGCTAAAGAAGATCCAGCCAAGCAAGATGGCACACATCTAATTCCAGCACTCTGGGGGGATGAGGCAGGAGGACTGAACTTTCAAGCCTAGCCTGGGCAACTCAGCAACACAGGGAGACCCTGTCTCAAAAAATTTTTTAAAGGCTCATGATAAGCTAGGCATGGTGGCACATATCTGTAGTCTTAATACTCAGGAGGCTGAGGCAGGAGGACTGCAAGTTCAAGCCCAGCCTAGACAACTCAGTGACTTAGCAAGACCCTATCTCAGAATAAAAATTAAAGGGCTAGGGTTGTAGCTCAGTGTGAAAGCCCTGGGTTCAATTCCCAGTACGGCAAAAACAAACAAACAAGGGGGGCAGGGGATAGCGGAGGATGGTCACAGCACCTGTGGTAAGGCAAGCAGATGCAAACATCTGTACAGAACAGAACATGCCCATTGTGTGGTCAGAGAAAGGGCCATGTGGACAAAACCAAGTGCATGTCATTTTGTTTTATTGGTCATAGATCCAGAATTCATTATATAAATCTTTTAAAATAATGAGATATTACAAGAATAGTTTACAAGTCAGCTCTGATTGCACAAAACTTGACACAGGAAACCATTTTTACAAATAACATATGTTTTCTTATAAGAATACTTTAATAAAGAAAATAAGTCTCTATACATCTTGCAGCAAATTTTATGCAGTTTCTTTTTCCCATTCAACTATCATTTTGGCTTTTCCATTAAAGCGTGTCTATCATATCCAATAAACCAAATTCCCATCTGCAGCTACTTCTCACTTTCAAATACTACTGAGATTCACACTGTTAAAGAGATTGGAGGCTTCCCTTTCTACTCTCTCCTGAAAGAATTCATGTATTCAGGCTAAAAGAGGTAATTTAAACAATATTCCTTCAAGGGAGAACTTGGATCAGAGCTGGGGTGCTGCGCAGTGGTGCAGCACTTGCCTCGTGTGTGCGTGACCCTGGGTTGCATCCCCAGCACCACAAAGGGAAAGTAAAGAACTTGGATCAGCTTAATCACCACGTTTGGTGGAAGATTTTTCCACTTCCCACCTACACTAGAGCAGCTAACAACTTGGACCTCCCTTACCAAGTCTTCACATTCCCAAACCACAAAAAGGAAACCCTGGAAATAAGAATGAAATACAAATATTAAGAAAACTAAAAACATGTGCTACTGATGAGACACCACTTTTAAATTCAAAATCTCTCCCAGGTTGAAGATCACAGAAAAGAAGTAGAGTATGAGGGTGCGGCAGTAGTTATATAAAATACTGAAAATCTGAACAAGGTTAATGACTTAGGCAAGTGGTGTATCATTTCCAAAATGCCAGAGGATACAGAATCTTACACTCTGTAGTCAACTAAACCCAATACTTGACATTCTTACACTGTGGCTGTGACACAGCCTAATAAATAGCCACTCAGCCCAGCAGGTACTCACCTAAGCCATGGGAATTTTGCAAACACCGGCTATCCTCACTGGAAGAGGCAGGACCCACGGGGGATACGTCTGGCACTCATTCCAGCCCTTCCTTCCCTGTTACTGAAAAGTGTGTCCCCTTGGCAAAGCTTTCTGTCTTACTTTCCAGGTAGCATGAATCAAGGTCGAGAAATGAGCGGAGTTCTAAAGTTAGGTTCCTGAGTGCTTGGCTCCAATGCGTCAACATCCTTAAAAGGGCTGTTTCATTAAGCCCTTGTCCAATGAGAGATACAACAGCACTTAGGGACTACAGGATGCCCTGTTTCTCTTCTATTTCTCTGGATTTTTTTCTTTCTCACCCCAGTGTAACAAATTGCTACAGATTTTTACCAAAATGCTGCAGCAGTAGTTGCAAATGAGTTATTTTGTGTTACCAAAAGCATTCCATCACATTATCACAGGTCACGTTTGCATATAACTAGATAGCCAAGTAAGCTCTACTGTAGTGATTTTGCAAATTCAGCATAGTCAATGTATCCATCATTGTTCTTGTCATCATCTCTCAAAACACCATCTATTATGCTAATCAGCTCATCTTCGCTCATTAGTGGTGCCTGCTCACCTCCATCCTACAAAACAAATCAGACGATGATGAGCTGCACATTTACTGGAGGAAGTGCTTAGCTAATGTTCAAAATGTCCACATTCACACGTGTCCAGAAACTCCTTTAATGTAATATATGGCTATGTCTAGGAATCCACAGACTCATATCTCAGTTTGAGTCTAGCCTGGGCAAATGAGTGACTCAGCAAGATCCTATTGTTAATAAAAGGCTGACAATGTAGTTCAGTGTGAAGGCCCTGGGTTCAATCTCCAGTACTGCAAAGAAAGAAAAGCAGCGAGGGCAGCCAGGGCTCATGGACGGGCCACTCACACCCTTGACTGATTCCACCTCTATCACATCTCCCGCATCCACTGTTTCTTCTCCATGGCCACCGCTATCCTGGTCTGCCACGGATGTGGATCCCAGCTCCCCTGCCTCCCTGACACTGCTCTCCCCTCGGTCCATCGCTCTTGACCATCAGTCACCTCCACAGCACAAGACCTTCCTGAAGCCAAGTCCCTCTCCTGTGCAAATCGCCAGCACTCCCTGTTGGCTTCAGAGAAAACCCCAAGCTGCCCTCCTGGCTGCTGATGTGGTTACGGTGAATCAGAAGAAATGAGATCCTGATTTCAGCTTCCTCACCGAGAGGATGGGAGACTGTAGCCATGGGACAGCCAGTTCTCTAACCTGTATGGTATGACACAAACCCTCAGCACCCCAAGGCCCTCCACACTTTGGTGCCCTGATCTGCCATCTTCTCTGCTGTAACAGCGTCCTTCCCCAGGTGACCGGGGCTATAGCCTATCTTTTTAGGCACTGGCTCTTCCACTCTGCCGCACAGCAGGAAACCGGACACACCAGTCCAAGACAGAGTGGCAGCCTGGGGCCTCTGCTCTGTAGGGCACCTGCAGGAAGGAGCAGTGACCAGGAGACGCCGGAGCAGCAGGCAGACGAAGGAGCAGCAGCGCTACTGAGGCACAAGGCCAGCATAGACCATCAGAGCTGGGACTCTGCCCCCCGAGCCGCCGTCTGACCTACCTCCTTATGCACGTGAGTGATGGCTGTGGAGAGCTCTAAGCCGTCAAGCAAGTTATTGCCATCGTAGTCGTGCATTTTGAAATAATGGAGCTGCAGTTCTTGTGGGGACATCGTTGCCTCTGGTTTGTTAATGACACCTTCAAGATGCTCCATGATATGCCTAGAAACAACAGTCAAATTATGCCAAAACTGTGCAGACTCTGAAAAGTTCAAGATCTTAAGCTTGAGCTGCGGGCAGGGCATGGGCCTGTAACCCTAGCTACTCGGGAGACTGAGGTGAGAGGGTCCTAAGTTTGAGGCCAGACTGGGCGACTTAGCGAGACCCTGTTCTTAAAAAACAAAAAATTAACAAAAGGGCTGGATAAGCAGCTCACTGTAGCTACTGTATGTGTCTGTTTATGCACATGCATGTGCAGGTCTGTCTGTCTGTGATGAAAGAGAAAGACTGAACTCAGACAAATACTTTATCCCATCTGGACCTCAATGTGACATAATGGTGAGAAAGGAACACCCAAATGAGAGGTGGATCTCGGAAATAAGCACCCTTGAGCTGGATAAAAAGGAGGAGAGAAAGGACTGAAGTGCCCTTACTGGCTGCAGGTGGCAGGGAGACCCCTGGCTGGTGAATACGTACTCTGGGTTGTGCACCGTGTGCTTATCCAGGCCCACACTGCCGGGATGGACGGCATTGGCCCCAGGATCATGGGCTCTAGCACTGGAAGCACAAAACGCCCACAGCAGGCTGTACAGCAAGGGGGTTCTGAGCAGCCACAGGGATCTCATGGTCACCGGTACCTAGGAGTGGAAAACACAGAAGACAAAGGCAGTGCCCCAGAGCTTTCCTTCAAGACCTGACCTAGGACGCTTCTGGGAAACCAGTGGGGCAGCATGGCTGAGGAAGAGAGCACATCAAACTGGGCCTGAACCCAGCTCTGCTCCTACACTGTGAGACCACTCAAATGCGGAGTTGGGTCTACAATGCTTCCTGTGTACCTTCAGAGAGCCAAGCTGCTCCATGACAGCTTAAAGGGGTTAAAAGATGCATCCTGCCCACAAGCTTACAGTCCATGGGGAATAAGAGCAAAGAGATGGTGCATACCTGTAACCCCAGAGCTCTGGGAGGCTGAGGCAGGAGGATCATGAGTTTGAGCCCAGCCTAAGCAACTTAGTGACTTAATGAGACCCTATCTCAAAAATAAAATAATACGAAAAGGGTTGGCAATGTAGCTCAGGGTAAGGCCCTGGGTTCAATTCACAGTCGAGGAGAGAGAGAGACACAGAGACAGAGACAGAGAGACAGACAGAAACAGAGAGAGAGAGAGAAAGGAAAGGAAAGGAAAAAAGAAAAGAAAAGTAGTGAAGGGTACTAGAGAAAGAAAGAACCCCTAGGAGTTCAAGGGAAGAAATGTCCTTGAATGACAGAAAATCAGACTATGCTGATAGGCATGGCAACGCTTCAGGTGGACTGTAGAGCCATACAGGTATGGAAAGAACAAAGGAGTGTGGGAGCTAGGACGGGTAGGTGCAGACAGGTGGGGAAGAAAGGATAAGCAGCTTTGTCTCCTGGGTGGGCAGCAGGCAGCACAGTGGCTGGGGGCAAAGGCTGAGTAGGCCATGATGGCCACAGCTTTACACACCAGTCCCAGGGTGCTGACAATTCCTGAGGATTTATGTGGAACAAGCAACAATTCAAGACTGGAGATGAGATCAGAGCTTGGCTTCAGCCTGCTCATCTGGCAGCTCCTTGAGGAAGGTATGAAGTGGGGCAGAGTGTAGGCGGGACCCAGGAGCTGGGCAAAGTGAGAAGGCAGGTCAGGCCAACCTCTGAGACAGCCAGTATGGTAAAGAGGTCATCAACTCCTGCCTCATCCACCTCCAGGCTGCAACCGCAGCAAGTAACCTACCAGTCGTGACAGAGCATGGGAAAGATTACAGAGGATCTGTGATAGGACCCTATCACATCCTTCTGGAGCTTGGTAAGAGTTGGAACTATGTCAACGAGACAACACAGTCAGCCACGGAGCCAGCTCTGAGGGCAGGGATAGGATGAATACCTACCATGGCTCAGGTAGGCCTTAGTAACTGTGGCTCAGCTTAGGAGGTTTGAACTACATAGTGAGATACTGTCTCCAAAAAAAAAAAATTCACTTTTGTAAAATAAAAAGGTGTATGTATACATTTCACACACAATAAAAACTATTAACAAAGACTGTCTTGCATCACAAGACTAGGGGTGATTATATTTTATTTTTCTATTGCTTCAAAATAGCCACTACAAACATATTTTTCTTTATAAATACATACTTAATATAATCATTTGGATAATTTTGTTCCAATACTATATGGATAGGAGAATTTCCAGTTCATTCTCATCTCCAGAAATTAATTCGGGGCAGCCAGAAGCCACACTTCCAATTTTATCAAATAAAGTGTTTTGATCCCAGCAAAGCCACTGCCACTGTACCTAGTGCCAGAAAGTAAGGTCTCAAGTTACTCCCAACTGTGATTGTTGACCAGAGCAGAACCCGTTGTGAGCACACATCTTACAAGTTGAGGCACCGGTGGGGGGAGCCCTTGGGATGCACCTGGGGTCTGGCTGAGGGGCTCTCCCACAGGCTCCTGCCAAAAGGCTCCTGTCCATGGCTAAAGACCACTGTGAACACCATCTGGGAAACCCTGATGACTCGCCGCCAAGAGAGGATATTCTTGGCATTGGACACACGCTTGGCAAAGGGGTCCTTGGGAGATGGGGAGATTATTACCACCTGCACAGATCAGCAGCAAGTTTTAATGTTAATGTAACTGAAGATGAAACTCTGGAGATGTCTCTTAGATAGGTGGCTGTGCTGAGAGACACAGAATCCATGGCACCCTTTTCCTTAACTACATTCATGAATGCTTAGTATATCAAATTGGAGGGGGGCTCTATTTAGGTAATAATTCCAAAATGTAATCAAGTGATTAATACAGGAACTATGGGTCTAAATTTATCTCTTCTTCAAGGAAAAAAGCCAAGAATCATTGAAGTTGAACTTGTCCCATTTTGATTTGCTGTCGTAGGTTCTAACCATCAAGACACAATAAATGCCAGATCTGACTGCCACCTTACAAATTAAACTGCTTACATTCAAAAAGAAACACAAGCTAAGGGCCAGGGATTTAGCTCAGTGGTTTCGGAGCCTGCCTGGCAAGCACAAGGTCCCAAGTTCGATCCCTGGTACAAAAAAAAGAAAAAAAAGAAAAAAAAAAAAAGAAACACAAGCTATTCCATTCTTCCCAAAGAACAAATTGCATCATCCACACTTGGGCAGCTATTCAGCTCAAGGCCACAGGCAAACAGCCTGGAAGATAGGCCCCAGGCATTCCCAACTTACTGGACTTCAGGACTTAAAAAGGCCAGGCTGGAGGAAATCCAAGAGAACAGACTTTTTTCTGCAAGGTGACTTCAGACCATAATCTATGCCCTGACATTCCCTCCCAAGGAGCAGCCTCAACCCAGGGAGGTGCTGGACCACTGTCAGTAGTGGGCACCAAAACTGGACTCTTAACAGGTCCCTTTCCTGACCCTGCAGCCCTTTCCTGTCCCACAGCCTCTGCCCACACTGGTTCCATCTGTCCAGTGCTTCCCCCTAGGGCAGGTTCAGATGTCACCTACAGATTCTTCCAGCCAGCACTGGCTTAGTCTTCCTCTGACCTCAGTCTGCAGTCTCCCGCACTCACTTAACCTGAATGTATGGTCACATACTATTCTGTTTTTCTCTTTCCCTCTCTGAAGACCACCTATGTGTGGTAACAGGTCTTTTCTGTCTCTCCTTTACGCTGCTGAGCCCGGCTGAGCTGACCTGGGGTAGTATGCCCTCAGGTCTGGGTCAGGGCAATGAGTCTGGCACCCAGGCATGTTGTTCTTCATGGGTGGGGGGATCTGGTCTAAACTGGAATTTCCCTTGGAGGCCTCCCACTGCTGGTATGACCTGGCCTCCCTTCCCTCTCATTGTGTCATTGTCCCACCAGCACATGAGAATTTGAAGCCAGCCTTCCTCTAGCAGCTGCTGGCAGCTTTTCCTCCAGCCAGGGGCCCTCGGTTATGAATTCACTCTCAAAAGCAATCACACTCACCAACATCCAGATATGTTGCACCTGGAGCCAATGCCAAAGAAAACCCTGACCAGTACTTCCCCATTTGGCATTGCCATAATTTTGAACTAAGGGCAAAAAATAACCAAGTTCCTAGGCTAAAGAAACCTCTCTACATCAGCTGCCAGTTGAGAATTGGTCCTGAAAAAGCTGGCATTTAATAGCTTTAATTTGCCGGGCCCAAGGAGCAGTCATGCTTTATTGATATGTTAAACTAACATACGAATGGCCTGATACTACATGAACAGCAGCAGAATAGCCAGAGGTACTAAGGGCAGGATTGTGACCCAGGCAAGACTCCCCTCACACAGATCACAGCTTGGTGGACAGGACAGTGAACAGACACCCACAGGGTATGGCAGCAGCCCCAACTCCCACTTGGAATAACACGTGATGCAGGAGGCTTCTTTCAACCAAAGGATAGTGCCTCAGACAGAAACAACCCACGGAATGAACACCTAAGTCCAGAGGGGACTCAGTGCAATCTAGGAACTAAAAGATTCAATACAGTTGAAGACAGAACAGCGGAGAAGGATAAGTCTTGGGCTGAGGCAGGAGGATCACAAATTGGAGTCCAACCTGAGTAGCTTAGCAAGATTCTGTCTCAAAATATTTCCACAAAGGTCTGGGGATGCAGCTTTATGCAAAGGCTCTGGGTTCAATCCCCAGTATTGCAAATCCTGTGCAAGAGCTTGCAAGAGCTATGGGAATCTCCAGAAAGGTAAAAGAATGGGGAGAGGGAAGGGGATCTGTGCGATTTTGGTTGAAGATCATGGTTCTAGTTTTCCTGTACTCAACAAGCGACAGAGGACCAAGAAGGGATGCAAAGGAGCAGTCAAGGCTCAATGAGGGAGTCCAGAGCAGCAATGAAAGTGGCCTGAACCCGAGAGATGGAGAGGACAAGACTGTAAGTCTCCCTCGCAGGGGACAGAGACGCCTCTAGTCCGAGAGCCTCGGAGCCAGCCAGAGGCGAGGTTCACCGGGCACAGCTGGCCCCACAGCCTGGTCCTGGGGTCCTGGAACAGCCAAGAGGTCGGAGATCTCCCTGGCCGGCTCCGACTGGCTCCAATGCCCCCAGCAGGTCACTGACCTCCGCCCCCACGGTCAGGCCCTTCTCCCAGCCACAAAACCCCTCACCCAGGCGCTCCTGCCTTCGGTTCCGAGCCCAAGTCCCGGGGATCCGCCCGCTGAGGACGTTACCCGAGTGTAGTCCACGGACCTCGGCCCTAAGGTCCAGGCCTGTGCCACTAACCAGTTCACTCACCCTCACTGTACCCGCCGCGGATGCGAGGTCCTCCCGGGTGAGCCTCGCCAGCCCCAGTCCCCAGACTGCTTTCCCGGCCCGCCAGCCCCGCCCCCAGCCCCGCCCCCAGCTTCCTGCGCAAGCGCGCTACCTTATGCCCGCCCCTGGGCCCCGCAGCGTTTGCCCCAGGTCCACCTCTTGCGCACGCGCGCTCCCTTCCGCCCGCCTCTGGGCGCCGCAGACCCCCCCCCCCCGGCCCGCCGCGGAACGGAGGCTCCGGTGAGTCCACGTGTAACACGCGGCAGACGCAGCTCCACCCGCCTTCCCGCAGGCCACACCCGGCTCCTGACGGAATTGGGCCACTCCGAGCTCGAGAGCCCAGCAGGTTAAGAGGTAGCCCCAGGCGCGCCCCAGGAGCGTGGTTCCGCGGGGGACATAGGGTGGAGGATGAGGCGGGCTCCGCAGCCGGCACCTGGCTCCTCCCCTCACCTTTGTGGGTCCCCGGCTTTGTGGGTCCTCAGAGTTCAAAATGGGGAGATCCTGACCTAGTACTCCCCTAACGCAAGAGCTAGATGGCGCTGGTCCCGGCCACTCCACTTCGAGCTTCTGCCCAATACATTCCACAAGCCGAGTCAGCCTCAGTACCCATTCATTCCCAGTTCAAGTTAAAAGTCCCAGTTCAAATACCACCTTTCCTGTGCAATTCGTAAAATCACAAAGCACTTTCACAAGAGAGCAGATAATCCCTGTGTAATCTTGCTCTCACTTTTGCTCTTATACAAGATTGTCATTCAGCGAATATCTATAGACCAGGTGAATAAATGAATGTAGAGATGTCATTTTTAAAATCTCTCCTCCCATTTGTGTCCATAAAGACACTTTTTTTTTTCATGTAAGTCCGGATTCAAAAAAGGAGAGACAAAAAAAAAAAAGAGACAAAAATTAAATAAATAGTAATAAATTTTAAAATTAAATAGATGATTCCTGATCCCTCTTTCAGTATCTTGAAAGTTGACCAACCACTGTCATTGACTATCTCATTCTCCCATTTCATCTGAGATGGAATTCTCTCAAATTATACCAAAGTTGGGCCGGGGATGTAGCTCAGTGGCACCGAACCTGCCTGGCAAGTGCAAGGTCCTGAGTTCGATCCTCGGGAAACAAAATGCACATGGAAATTATACCAAAGTAAAACCCCAGGATCCTTAAAGAGGCCCCGTTGACTCAATACCCTTTTTGCTTTCCTTAGTTTGGATTAGTTTGATCTAGTTCATTTCAGGTGCCCTGCACCTGCTGTCTATCCACCCATCCGTCCATCTACTGATTCATCCATCCCTCCTTTGTTCTTTTAATAACAGTTCTTGAGTTCCTTCTATGCATTAGGCACTGTCCTAAAAGCTAATAGAAATACAGATAAGATATGGAATCTTTAAGAAGATAAGTATCTAGTAGATGGATGGTGTCCTCATTCTATTTAACCAATGCGTCTCCCTTTTCTACAGATATTATCCTTTGTCATCTCTCAAGTCAGCAAGTGCTCCCTCTCAACCAGATCATTGCCATCAGCCTGCTCTATGGTTTCTTCCCTACTGTGCTACTGAAACCAACCTCTGCAAATCTGGTAGTCTCTTCTTTGATCTCTATTTTTATTTTACTTGCCTTCTCAATACTATTCATCACAGTTAACCACTTCCACTTTGAAACACTTTCTTCTCTTGTTTCCAAAACCACACACTCTTGGTCCACCTCCTACTTCACTAGCTCTTCTTAGGCTATTTTACTGGCTTCCCCTCCTCTGCTCAGCATATAAATATCAGAGTTCCCAGGATTCTACCCTTCTCTTTCTACCCACTCTTCCTATGTGACTTCATCTACTCCTATCTTTAGATACCAATTTTATGTAGGTGACTCCAGAATTTATCTCAGTTGGGATCCCTTCTCCCAGTAATTCCTAAGTCCCTTAAATAAATGCCTGCTTGACATTTCAACATGAATGTCTAACTAGCACCTCAAATTTAACATGGCTCCTAAAATCTTAATAAATGTCATTTGTCCATTTTACTAAAATAGTTAATTTTACTAAAAGTCACTGTTATTCAGTTGTTTAAGCTAAAATTCTAAAAGTTCTTGATTTCTCTTATTCTCCTACTTTACTTGTGTGTGTTTGTTTGTGAGGGTTGTTTGTTTTGTTTTATGAGATAGGTCTCACTATACAGTTCAGGCTGGCCTTGAGCTCACTATGTAGCCCAGGCTGGTCTTGAACTCACAGAAATCCTCCTGCATCAGCCTCCAGAATGCTAAGATTACAGGTATATACTGCCATGCCTAGCTTCCTTACCTTTATAACTAATCAGCAAATCCTTTTGATGCTACCAAAAAATATCCTGGCCAGGTGTGGTGGCACACACCTATATCCCAGCACTTCAGGCTGAGGCAGGCAGATTGCCACAAGTGTGAGGCCAGTCTGGACTACATAGTATGTTCAAGGCCAGTCTGAACTACATAGTGAGACCCTGTCTCAAAAACAAAACAAAGCAAAATATATCATAAATCTTCCTTTCTACCTCTAGTACTCTATCTAGTACTATTTCACTCCAAGGAACCATCATCTCCCATGGAACTACTGGAAAGTGTTTCTGTTATGGTTTAGATCTAAAATGTCACCCAAAAGTCTCATGTAAAGTTCAGAAAGTGACTGGATCACAAGGACTGTATCATCAATGGATTCATCCATTGATAAGTTCAGTAGCTGAATCTGCTGTAAGGAGGTAGAGCCTTGGTAAGAGGTGGGTCATTGAAGCATGACTTCAAAGAGTATGTTCTTGTCCCTGGCTCCTCACTTCTGTCTCTCTGCTTCCTGGCTGCCATGGCTTAAACAGCTTTCCTCCACCTTGCCATTTCTGTCTTGGAGCTGGCTAACCAGGGACTGATCCCTCTGAAACTGTGAGCCAAAATAAACCTCTCCTCCTTTGAGTTGTAGGCATTGGATATTTTGTCCCAGCAACAGAAAAGTAACTAATCCAGCTTCCCAGTTAACCTCTGTGCTTCCAGTCTTGCCCAGGTCTAGGCCATGAGTGAGAAGCCACCTTTAAGTCATTTATGGGTGGGTATTCTGTAACTTGTAGCAGTACCCATTCCTAATAGGAAAATAATTTGGTACTAAAAACATACACTAAAATTTGTTATTGGCCAGTGGGAGATTAAGGTATTCCAAACTAGAAAGCTGGTGACCCTTGTTAAACTGTTATGAAGCTGTCCAAAGACTATTGCTTAGTGGACCTTGAATACAGACTACTTGTCAATCTCAGCTATATTTTAGGAGAATTCTCAAAACTGTGTAGAACATTAGTGGATGTTTGTTTGTTTGTTTGTTTTTTAAGTAGCTTTCAGCAAACTTCTTCAAAAGAATGGCAAATCTAGGGCCAGAGATTTAGCTCAGTGGTTTCGCTGCCTGCTGTGCAAGCGCAAGGACCTGAGTTCGATCCCTGGTACCAAAAATAAAAAATAAAAAAATTTTAAAAAAGAATGGCAAATCTAGATTAGAAACAACTGATTTGAAAGCCCAGATCAAAGACTTGGTAAAAGAGAGGCTCTCTTTATCTGCAGCCTACAATCTACACTGGCCAAACTTGAAGCCATAAACTTGGAGCCCTGCTGGATGGAAATGACCAATTTACCTGAGCTGAAACCAACACAGGTGGAGAGTGAGTAACAGCAGCATGATCAGGAGATAAGATTGAGGCCACAGGTAGCAAGATGGGTTGTAGGTGGCATCTCTTCAGCTATCATTCTGAATAGCTTCAAAACAATGTTTTGCCTATACAGGGATTACAGGGTGGATAGGAACAGGAGTGAGAATAAGACTTCAATATATACCTTTTGGTAATGCTTTGATATCTAAAAACTATACAAATATATTACTTAATTGAAAGAAATTTGAACATATTTCATTTAAAAACTTTTTTTAATTGGGTATGGTGACACACACCTGTAATCTGAGCACACAGGAGGCTAAGGCAGGAGTATCATCACATGTCAACCTGGGCTACATACTGAGTTCAAGGTCAGCCTGAACTACATAAGTGAGACTTGTCTCAGGGAAAAAAAAGCCAAAAACAAAAAACAAGTTAAAGATCCTTTAGATATATTATTTGATTGTGACTGTTCTTGGAATTGATCAGAAGTCTGACAATTGACTGAGGGGATCTTGTGCCCCTACAGTCTTAAGCCTGTTCAACAACAGTCTGTTGGTCTTCTATGCTATGTCAACCCCTGGGCCCCAGAATTCCCTTCAACAGGAAGTGGGGTGTAAAAGGTGTGTGTTCTGCACAGAGGGACAAAACAAGGGTGTGTCTTCCAGATTCTCTAATCAAGAATTTAATATACTGCCAGAAGAAACTGCTACTTCTATCTCACAGTATTGGATGTGCTTTGCCGACCAGGAAATAACATGAAAAATGTTTTTCATTTTCTCTGTCTCTATCTCTATCTCTCCTGAGTGTAAGCTGTTATTGCTTCTTCATATTGTACATTGAATATATTTTCCTGTAAGCTTTTATTTTATTTTTTACATTGTATGGATATATAATATATGCAAAGAAAGGTACATATACAGAAAAGTGTACAGCTCAATAAATTTTCAGAAATTGAATATGTCCGTATAATTAGCACCCAAATGAAGACTCTTCTCCCTTATGCTGACTTACAAACATTACCCTCTCCTCCAGAGGAAACTGTTATCTTGACTTTTAACGCACAGAATTTTACCAGTTTTTGTATTTTATATAAATAGAATCACACAGTGCATTTTCTTTGGCCTACGGCTCCTTTTGCTCAGCATAATTTTGAGATTCATCCATGTTGCTGTAGTGTGAGATCATTCATTCTCATTTCTGTGTACTATTCCATTGTGTCAGTCAATATATATTCTTTTTTTTTTTTTTTTTTGGTACCAGGGATCGAACTCGGGTCCTTGCTCTTGTGAGGCAGGCAGTGGAACCGCTGAGCTAAATCCCCGGCCCAGTCAATATATAGTCTATTCATAGATGTCTGACTAGCTTCAAATTTTAGGCTATTATAAATGATGTGACTTTGTACATTGTATAACATGTCTTTCTTGCACATCTATTCACATTTCTGTTAGGTATTCACCCAAGAGGAACATTGCTGGCTTATAGGGAATGCTGATAGCTTTATCAGACACTACCAAAGTTTTCCTAAGTAGTTGACTCAATACATACTCCCATCTGCAAGACCATGTCAGAGTTCTGTTGTCCCACATTCTTCTCAACACTTTGTACTTTCCATCTTTTTCCTGTTCACAAATAACCTTCTCTAGCGTAAATCACTGGGCCATAAGCAGTCACATCTGGACCTGAAAGAGGAGTGCTGTGGTTTGATTATGGCTTACCCCTTCCAATGCTCATGTTAAAATTTAGTTACCATAGGGCCGGGGATTTAGCTCAGTGGTTCTGGTGCCTGCCTCACAAGCGCAAGGTCCCAAGTTCGATCCCAGGTATCAAAAAAAAATTTACCTTTAGGACCATGTTGGGAGGTGAGAACTTTAAGAAATGATTATGTCATTAAGAGGGATTATTTCCTTTCACAGAGGAATGGATTAATTCATTTGGGATTGAATTAGTTATCACAAGACCTAGTTATAAAGTTGCCTCTCATGTTTTGTGTCTTTTGCATGGACTGCTTGTCCTTCCACTTTCTGCCACAACTTGAAGCAGCATGAGGCCCTCAAGGATGCCATCCTCTTGGGCTTCCCAGCCTCCAGAATCATGAGCCAAAATAAACCTCTTTCCTTTGTAAATTAGCCAGTCCTAAGCACTTTGTTTTAGCAATAGATGAACTAAAACAAGAGTCCTGTGTAGGGAAAGTTGGGGAATGGGCAGGGAAAAGTAAGGGCCTTAGGTTTCTGGCAAATCCTGACTAGAGAGTTAAAGCCTTTGTTAGTGAGAGCAATTAAGAGAAACACAGAGAATTGATAAGCAGCCTGACCCCCACTTGGCCAGGGTCTGAGCCCCAGTTTGCTCCTCTCTACCTCCAGTTAAGTACAAAGGAGACAAAGTGGGGAAGGGGCTATATTAAAGAAAACTCACTTACTATACAAAGTATAGACTCACCTGCACATGGACATGCATGCATGCACACCCACATATAGAAAGAGACATATATTCTCACCATGTCACTGCACTAAACTGTACATGTATCCCTTTACTAATTGCTAATTCTGGCTTATATGTAAGGCCCAGCATAAGTTTTAGAGATAGCACCTTGGCAGGGTGAAAAAGGGCTAAATTAGCTTACCAAAGAATTTGCACTTAGGCAACGGAGAGAGACGGTTAGTGGCCAAATCAGGGGTCTCAGAGCCTGAAATAGCCAATCAAGTGTAACAAATTTCAGAGGGAAGAGTCTTTTCTTGCCATAGAATAAAAGGGGCTAAGAACAAAGAACCTCAAGCACCAGCTCTAGGCTCCCTACTTTACTCCAACAAGGTAGCTGTCTGTCTCCTCATTTCTCTCCCCTTTCCAATAGTGATTTTTTTTCTCCTCTTAAACTTATACCTTTAATTTTTTATTTATATAAGTTTATGATTCCCAGACAAATAAAATTTACCCTCACAAGACACAGCACCTGCACACTATACAGAGTACCTGCATCCCAAATTGTATGTAGGAGCTGGTGACACCTAGGGTTATCTCCTTTGTGGATGAATGAGTATATCCCATGTAAAATGTGTATATAGCAAAGACAGGGCACATGAGTTTTGGGTAACTAAGGAGTGGCACCAAGCATATGCTGGTGATTATACTGACTGGGAGCCCAGTTTCCATTTTTAATTCCCTTCTGTCTCCACAATACAGGCATTAATCATTAAACACAAACTTTCCCATTCTTTTTTTTCCCAGCTAAATTACCATGTGACACAGTTCTAAGCACAATACATGAGAAAATGAGAAGTATTTTGCCTTTTGGAGGGGGAGTACTGGGATTGAACCCAGGACCTCACACATGCTAGGAGAGCCGCCTACCACTAACCTACATACCAGCCTTGTCTTTTGCTTTGCTGATGAAAGGGACAGTGACCTTTCCCTTCTGAGTGGGGCTGTAATAGCAGTCACCCTCTGACTGTGAAGGGCAGTAGTAGAGAATTTCAGAAAGGCTGTCTCAGTGCTGTGGAGCTGCTGAGCCAGCACCTACCTGCAGATAGCGTGTGTTTTAGTTACTTTTCTCCTTGCTGAGACAAAATACTCAACACCTAAAGTTAAAGGAGGAAAAGTTTATTTCAGCTCACGGTTTGTAGAGATTCAGTCCATAGTCGACTGGCTCCATGGCAGGGTGGCATGGCAGAGGGACGTCACAGAGAAGAAATAGTTCACACAAAGCAGGCAAGAGATAGCAAAACAGCAACAGAAGTAGTGTGCCTCTCCCTTTTTATCCCTTCCTGGATATTCACCTTTAGGGTGATGCCACCCACACTCAGGGTGGGTCTTCCCATTATCTATACCCAGAACTATTCTGAACCAATCAGTGGACTAATTTAGTTATCACAAACCCTTCATCTCAGTAAACCTTCAGTAAATACCTTCAGCCACACCTTAGATCCAGCCACTTTGGAAAAGCCCACCTATGACCACACCTTTTGGGGGAACATCTAGATACAAGACATAACAGCATATTATGTGGGAAGAAACCTTCCTTGTTTAAGTTATTCTAAAAAGACAGCTACTTGCACTCCAAAACATCCGTAAGTGACACAGAGGTCAAACAGGATGTGAAGTCTAATGTGAATTGTACTGTATTTATCAAACTGAGGTCATGGGGGATCAGACAGCTGGTGGACAGCATGCATTAATTGGATAATCAGAAAAAAATAATGGCTTCATTCTGACATAAAAAGTTTTGAAGTGCAATGTTGTTGGTAAGTTTCAAGTTTTGATGGAAATGTCAAAATGGGATAGTTACTGAGTATTGAAATAAGGTGGAAAGCAGACCACAAAGATATAGATTTTCAAAGGACAGTTTTGAAATCCGGGGCCGGGGATTTAGCTCAGTGACACCACACCTGGCTTGAAACCGCAAGGTCCTGAGTTCGATCCCTGGTACCACAAAAAAAAAAGAATGTTCAAGTTTTGAAATCTGATTACCTTTCTCTTGCCCCTGTCATCAAGGAAGCTCCATATCCAGAAAGAAGAAATAAGACGGAAAGAAGGGAAAGCTAGGCAGAATTCATTCATTCATTCATTTATTTCTGTAGCACTGGGGATTGAACCCAAGGCCTTTGTGCTGAACTACATCCTTAGATCTTTTTTATTTTTATTTTTTTTAATTTTTAAGACAGAGTCTCACTAAATTGCTTAGTCAAGATCTGACTTTGCTATCCTCCTGCCTCAGAGTACTGGGGTTACAGGCATGTGCCACCATGCCCTGCTCAGGGAGGTTTTTTTGTTGGGGGAAATGTTCTTGAGAAAGTCTGAAAGGTCACTTTCTCCCTCCTCTCCAGTCTAGTGACAGTAGCTGCAAGGATTTGCTGGGTGGCCCTTGATGCTAGGCACACACACTGGCCTGGCTCAGTAATGTGAGCAGCCTTGGAAGAGAGAAGATTACCTGGTCGTGGATTACTCTACCCTATGAGTAGGGGGTCACATGAGATAAGAATCCAGGGGACCAGATGAAAAAGTGGCAGAGGCATTGTGCATCTGGGCTTGACCAAGATGGTGGCCAATGAAGACAGAAGGATGCGAAGGTTTTAGACTGAGGGGTGAGAATAATGCAGACAGGAGCAGAGAAGCTTGATGAAAAAGAGATCTGAGTCCGAGCAGTCCAACAGAGAGGCCCTGAGAGAGCCTCCATGAGCCAGCTCTGAACAGCTGCCAGGGAACCTGCGGGGCCCCAGGGGTAGGGACATAAAAGCCATTTTACTAAGAACCTTCCTATCCTTCTTCTCCCTCCACCTTTCCCCATTTCAACACTGCACGTAGAAAGCAGCAGTAAAAGAAAGAGGCTGAACACAGTCCCTATCAGGCTGCAGATGGCCGGCTCCCCTGGGTCCTAGCTTTGAGGAGAGAGGGAGACACATCTTATCTTTGAGTGAGGACTTATTAATTAGTATATTGGACTGGATGATTGAATTGAGTCTGCATTTGGAACTTAATGTGATTCCTGGACTTTTATACCTACAGGTACTAAGAAACATTTATATGCTTGAAAGGATTTTTACCCATGGCCCAGGAAAAGACCACCCATACCCCCACTGAAGGGGATTAAAAGTCAATGGAAAACAAATATAAAGTGGTATTTGTGGATACAACCCCAAATCCTGTGTGTGCAGCACGCCAGTTATCCAAGATTCCTTTCTTGAAAACCATTCTGCCGGGAGTCTCTAGATGCAGTCTTACTCAGATGTCAGCTAGGAGCCCTTCATTCCCTGGAGATCTGGGTATAATCGGATCTGACCCACCTAATTCCAAGTCCAAGCTTGTCTCAATTTCTGCTCATTCCAGAGTTGCCCTGAGCCAGTAACTTCTGTGTTTCTTTTGCATTCCACCCTTCTGCTCCCTAGCCCAGCTGCAAAATCACCATCTTTGATCATTCCAGGTACAGAAGACTCTCCTCACACACAGAGAAGATGTGAGTCACGGAGACTACCAAGGAGTTACCACTTCCTTGAGTGGGTTGTTATGATTAAGATTTAAAATGACCCCCAAAAGCCTCATTGTTCAGAGACAGAACTTTTAGAAGGTGACTGGATCATGGGGGCTTAACTAAATGTACTCTTAGGAGGTGGGATCCAGCTAGAGGAGGTGGGTCCCTGGGCATGTGACCTGGAAGGGTGTATTCTTGTCCCTCCCACTTCTTCTCTCTAGCCTCTGGGCCACCACGGGTTAACCAGCTTTCCTCTGCTGGGACCTTCTGCCAGGCCATTTCTGCCTTGGAGCCAGTTACCATGGACTGAACCTTCTGAATTGTGAGCCAGATCTCTCCGCCTTAAATTGTTGGTGTCAGGTATTTTGTCCCAGATGAAAGAGTGACTCACACAAGGCAAGTGCTAGATAACTAACCAATTTAGGTCCACAACACTTACTGAGTACCTGCTGTTGCCCAAGTACTATGCTAAATGCTGGAGATACAGAGTAAATGACATCCAGTATCCTTAACACACTTAAAGTCTAGTTTGGAAGCATATGTAAGATAAAGTGTAAATGCTTGTTAGGGCCCAAGTTACCATGGGAGCACTCAGGCAAGGCACATCATCTGTGGTGGGGATGAGGGATCAAGGAAGACTTCCCTCTAGGACAAACTAGAAGACTGAAAATATGACCCTTTTCACAGACTGCAACCAAATTTCATTTTGTCTGGATTGTCCAGGAAATCTCAAGCCCTGATTTTAGAATAAGGTGATTCTAGATCACCAAGCACCTAGGAAAAAAGCAAGTGTTAAAATCCTTTTGGAGGAAGATAAGATCATTCTAAGCCTCACATGATTTCTACAGTAATTTCTCAAATGCAATATCCTGCAGAGTCAAAGACAACAGACATCCAGCATGGAAAAGAACTAAAAGAACAATCAACAGATCACTGCTTGAGAAATTGAAATTATCAGGCAGAGGTTGTTAAACAAGCAAAATCTGCTTTACTATCTTTAGGGAAATAAAAACCAAGCTTGAAAATTCTGGCAAGCAAAAAAAGTATAAAAAATAACATAGCATATGGAAAAAGGAGTCAAATATAAATCTGTGATCAGAAAAATATAATGAGATATTAAAATGGAAGGGATGAGTTTAACATTTTAGACACATGAGAAGAGAGAGTTTTTGAAATGGAAAATATGTCAAAGAATATAGTCTAAATGAAGTACAGAGAGACCAAACATTGAAAAAGAGAACAAGTGTGAGAGTCACAGAGGATAGGGTGGGAAGGCCCCATTGATACAGAGTTGGAGTTGCAGGAGGGGAAGCAGAGGCAATATTTGAAGATAAGAATTTTCCAGCACTGTGAAAGACTTCAGAAGAGTTACAAATCTCAAACGAAGTCAATTAAATCTTTGCAAGGCACATTCTATAAATCTAAAGAAAACCAAAGAAGAAAATTTAAAAATAGGCAGAGGAGGAAAATTGTTTTTAAAGAAGTAACAAGACAGCTGATTTTTCAACAGCCGTCATGGAAACCATAAAGCAATGTAATGTCTTCAAAGTATAAAAAAAAAATGCTAGCCTAAAATTCTTTTTTTTTTTTCTTGAGACAGGATCTTGCTATGTAGTTCAGTAGTTCAGGCTGCCCTAAAATTCACTATGTAGCCCAGGCTGACCTTGAACTCACAGCAATGCTCCTGCCTCAGTCTCCCAAGTGCTGGATTACAGGCCTGTGGCGCCAAACCCAGCTAATTTAAAATTCTAACTCCATAAAAAAATTCTTCAGAAGTAAACATGAGAAGATGTTTTCAGACAAACAAAAATTGAATGATTTATCCACCAGTAGAAACATTTTGTTGCTTTTCTATTTCTGCATAACTAATTACTACAAAGTTAGCGCCTTAAAGAAATGCTGAGATTCATTATCTGACAGTTCTGTAGATCTGAAGTCTAGGCAGGGATCAACTAAGTTCTCTGCTCAGCATATCCATAGGCTGAAACCAAGGGGCTGATGAGGGTTGGGAGTCTCATGTGAGACTCGAGATCTCCTTCCAAGATCATGTGTTTGAAAGTAGCATCTAAAAGAAATTTAACATTTGAAATCAGACGAAGTATATTTTCAGATATGATGCAGTTACACTAGGAAAAAAACCCTAAAAACCTTCCACATTTATTGGGAATTTAAGAAACACTTTTAAAAACATATCAGTCAAATAAGACATCACAAAGGAAATTTTAAGATATTTTAAACTGGATGTTAACTAAATTTATATGATTTAATACTTATAGGATACAACTAATTTCTACCCTTAAGTGCATATATTAAAAAATAAGAAAACTTGAAAAATAATGAGCTAAGATACTACCTCACAGAGATCAAAAGTAAAATAGGGGATGCTATTTTATTATTCACAAAGATTCACTGCCTATCTCTTGATATTGGCACTAGACTTAGCCATATTTGTTGATCTGGCCAGTGGAATGTGCATGAAAGTTTTATATGTCACATCTAGGCAGAAGTGTTGAGAGCCAAAGTACAGCTCTCTATCTCTATACCATCTGTTTCCCTTTGCCAAAATGATTATTAATGTTCTAGATAGTGGATAGTTTTGCTAGCTTGAGACCTACAGTAAAGACAATTTCAAGAAGAACCAGTCAGGGCCGGGGATTTAGCTCAGTGGTTCCGGTCCTGAATTCGATCCCTGGTACCTAAAAAAAAAAGAAGAACCAGTCAAACTGGACAGAATAGGTAGCATGATTGAGAAAAAAACTATGTTGTTAAAAGCCCTGACATATGGGGATATTGTTTGTTATTGCAACATAACCTATCCTATCCTGACTGTCATAGATATACAAAAAAGACAGCCCTGTAATTAATCCCTGCACTCTGGGCTGCTATGGCAGGAAAATCATAAATTAGAGCAATTTAGTGACTTAGTAAAACCCTGCCTCGAAATAAAAAATAAAATAGGGCTGGGGATGTAGCTCACTGCAAAGGCCCAGTAACAACAACAACAATAACAACAACAACAACAAAAAAAAAATGAAGGAAAAGAAAAATAATCTGGAGGTTGAGGCAGGGGGTTGCTATGAGTTTAAGGCCAGCCTGGGCTACTAGTGAGTTTAAGATCAGCCTAAACTACACAGTGAGGCCCTGTCTCAAAAGCTTAAAAAAAGAAAGAAAAGCAAAGCAAAAGTAACTCAAATACAATAAAATAGGTGAAATAGAGATATCAGAAAAATCAAAGAAATGGAAAATGACTACAATAGAGGATCAACAAAAACAAAATTTAGTTATTTGGAAAGACCAATAAAACTGATAAATTCCTGACATGTTATCAAGAAAAATTTAAGAAGAATGCACAAATAATATATGAAAATTAAAATTCAAATATAATTACAAATTCTATAAATTCTAAAAAGATGATAGGAGGATTTTATGTTAATCTCATGCCTAAAATATGAAAGGCATGTTAAATGGATGTATTCCTAAAAAAATACAACTTACCAAAATTTGACAGAAGAAATAGAAATCTGAAGGCCTATAATCCTTAAAGAAGTTGAATCAATATTTTTAAAAAGTACCCATAAACAGCTAAAGGAAAATAATGCTAACCATATACAAACTCTTTAGAAAACAGGAAAAAAGGTACATTCTTTATTTATAAGGCTGGTACTATTTATTTTTTTATTTATTTTGTTTGGGGTTTTTTGAGACAGGTTTTCACTATATATTCCAGGCTGGCCTTGAACTCTCTGTATAGACCAGGGTGGCCTTGAACTCATGGCAATCCTCCTGCCTCAGCCTCCTGAGGGCTAGGATTATAGGTGTGCACCACCACACCCAGCTCTGCTGGCATAACTTTAATATTAAAATTCATTGAAGTCAGTTTCAGATGAAAAAAATTAGCCCTGTCAGTCAAGGACAAGGATACAAAACTCCTAAGCAAACGTTGTATTAGCAAATCATATCAAGCAATATATAAAAAGGAAAACCCACTGTAACCAATGTGGCAGACAGAATAATAGTCTCCAAGGGTGTTAAGCGCTGAATCCTGAAATCTGTGAATGTATTATTTTATTCAGCAAAAGGGACTTTGATGAGGTGACTAATTTTAGACCTCTAAATGAGGAGATTATCCTGGTTTCCCCTATGGGCCCAGGTTAACCACAGGAGTCTGTGTAAAGACACAGGAAGCTCAGAGCCAGAGAGATGGGACCCTGCATACAAGGTTAGGGTGATGAGATTTGAAGTCTAGGAAGGGGCCACAAGCCAAGGAATGCAATTGGCCTCTGGAGATGAAGTGAGCAAAGAAGTTGATTCTTTCCTGCAGCCCCAAGAAAAAACACAACTTTGCCAACACCACTAAATTTGTGTTTTAATTTATTACATCAGTCACAGGAAATTTATACAACTAATTTGACCTTATGCCAGAAATGCAAGGATTACTTATCATGTGAAAATGAAACAATTTCACCATATTAGTAGATTTAAAGAAGAAAAGTTGTATGACCATTTCAATAAATGCATATTTTAAAATTCAACTTTAATCATAATTTTTTAAAAGACAGGGTCTCAGAGGTTGGCATTGAACTCACTATTAGCCCAGTCTGTGATCTTTCTCCATCAGTCTCTCAAATGCTGGAGTTACAGTTGTATGCCACTACACCTAACAGCTTCAATCATAATTAAAAGAAAACTTCAACAAACTAGGAATAGAAAGAACTTCCTAAATCTGACAAGAAATATCAGAAACCAATATAGTAATTACCATAAAAGCCATAAAAGTGCCTTTTAAGAGACAAAAGGTTGGGCTGGGGATTTAGCTCAGTGGCCCCACTCCTGCCTGGCATGTGCAAGGTCCTGATGGGGGGGGGGAGAGCGAGAGGGAGGATTGTGCTTTGGGGAGGAGTATAACAGGGGTGGGGGGCTTCTGGAGTACTGGTGTAAAAACCTCATCTCTTAACCCCGGTGGGTGGTAAATAAGAGTTTACTTTATAGCAATTATGCCTTATGTACTTTCTATTTTTTCAAACAAAAATATTTTTTAAAAGATGAAACAAAAGAATTGAAAAGCAGATAGAACAAAGCTATGTTTTATAGCTTATAATTGCCTTCCTCAGAGAGGCGGATGTTTGCAGCTGGCCATAGGAGCAATAGGACCTAATTAGCTAACGTGAGTGGAAAGACTGCTGTGGGCTGGAGTGACTTCTGTCCCTTAGGTTGGCAGTAGCTGGGCAGAGAACGGGAGACATCATGGGGCCCTGCTCTGAGGAGAGGACCATGGCACAAGTTTATAAGAGGAGACAAAAGCCACCAGGGAGAATCAGGAGGCACCTGAGACTCCAAGAAATAGAAGGGATGGGGATGATCAGACAGAGGTCAGTGCATAGCGAGGGTGTGGGTGCCCGGTCATGAAATAGGTGGGTAGGGATAAAAGCCACCCCAGAGCTCTCATCTCCCAGGCCTGGGGAAACCTACGATATTCTGATATTTTAAAATTAACCTAACAAATAACTTACCAAGTGCCTAATGTACACAGACACAAATAGTTCACAATTTTGAAGCTCATCTATGTAGGACTTTGTCCCTCAGTCTAATGATTACAGTACATGCAGTTTCCCTGGCAGCTGCCAATGGGAAGGACTGGCCATCTGGCCAGATGGTGGCAGCGTTTCAATGTCAACATTCTGAGAGGGCTGATTCAGGACTAATAAGTAGGTAAGATAGGAGACAGTGTGGGCAAGAATGCTGTGAGCCAATAATCATGGTGACAGGTAAAAGTTGATTTCCAAACAAACAGGTCATAGGCATTGTGACCCCATAAGATTGGAAAGGTAGGATGTCATTCTGTGTGTGTGTGTGTGTAGTAGTACTGGGGATCGAACCTAGGGCCTTACACATGGTAGACAAGTGCTCTACTGCTGAGCTACATCCCCAAACCCCTTTTAAAAGTTTTTATTTGAGACAGGCTCATAGTTTTCCAGACATCTTGAACTTGCCATCCTCCTGAGTTTAAGCCACCACACCCAGTGGCAATTTGTCATTCTGCTCTGCATCACATATCTGATGACCTTTGTGGATGAAATACTGTTGACCAGGAAGCAAAGGTGAAACCCATATTCAGATTTAGGACTTTCAGAGTGACTGTAGGTGGGATGTCATGAAAAGCAGAGAACCTGTCAGCAATCTACTATGTGCTGGAAACACAGGTTTCTAGGGGACCCCGAATGGCAACTATGATGGCCCCAAATGGTAAGAATGAAAGAACAGAAGGTGGGGAGGGCATCTCAGCAGGGCTGTTGGTCCATCTCTAGGTAGGTGGCTGGGAGCACTTAGTGACCTCCAGCCTAACTACTCTCAGCCACTGTGATAAGCAGTATTGGAGGGGTTTGATGGGGGGGGGGGTCCATAATAATCACACAGTAAATCTTGAGTCATTACACAGAATAGAAATCATCTACACCCAAACAGCTTACTGTTCACACTGACTTAACTACTACAGAGAATAAAATTGTAAATAATTTTGGTTTTTTCCTAGAAGTTTCAAGAAGGATCCATTGTAACTTTAAAGTAGATAGCCACAAACTACTACTTACTCTCTAAGCCTCTTTTTTTTTCTTTGTAGTACTGTACTACAGATTGAACCCACCACCTTCTCACTAAGCTACATTGCTAGGCTTTTTGTTGTTGTTGTTGTTGTTGTTATTTGTTTTGAGAACTTTCCTCAGGCTTGTTTTGTTTTGCCTATGAGATTGGTTCAGGAGAGGTCTCAAACCTTCCTGCTTGGAACTAGGCATTCATCAAGATTCTAGTTGGAAAAGGTCCGTCTGCACTGGGGGCCTGAGCCAGAGGATACACAAGCAATCCTTGGCTCTCCATGCCCAGGCTCTCCAGGGCTTTTCTTGGTGTAAACCTCAGACTTTTGCTTCTTACATGGATTTTTATTGGGACCCAAATGTGTGCTTTCTAAATGGCATCATTCCATGATGATAGTTTAAGGTTACACTACTAGGAACTTCTGATATGAACAAAATTATTCACTTCTGAGGTGCTTTAGAACAAAGAGGGAACAGAATTCCAAACATCCAAGGGTCTTTACTTTTTAATTAGCATGAGGAAGCATCCAAAAGAAATCAGATTAAAAAGAAGAAGAAATCAGATTCCCAAATTATTTGGGGGGGCAGCATTGGGGTTTGAATCCAGGGCCTTCACACTGCTACATCCCCACCCCCTTTTTATTTTTTATTTTGAGATAGGGTCTCACTAAGTCACTCTGGCTGAGTTTGAATTTAAGATCCTCCTGCCTTAGCCTCCCAGAGTGCTGAGATTATGGGCATGCTCCAAAATAGCTGGCCCAAAATTTTGTCTTTTAACAGATTCCTTGCCAAAGCAAAATAAAAATGCCAACTGCTTAACCCTGTCTTTTAGATCCCCCCACATTACAGCTTCAACCTACCGTTCCTCATCTTCCACCCTATGCACTGCATCTCCCTCTGCCTCACCTCCCTGTCTGGCCCACTTCCCTTCCTTCCTGGGAGCCAGATACGCCAAAACTCACTTTCCTCTTTATGGTAAATCTCTTTCAGAATAGAAAGAAAAAAAAGTCCTATGATGGAGTTTAAGCCCCTACTGTAGTGTCAGATGAAAGCCATTGTCAAAGAGTCTTTAAGCCTGCAGACATGTCCAACCAGTGGCTGGCCTCCCCTCCCACCCTTTGAGTGAAGAGGAATTTTCTTGGGTAGCACATGAAATATCTGATATAGTTAATGTATATAAATAACAAAACTTCCTTTAAAAAGTTTTTTTTATTACAACATTTAAAAAAAGAATGCCAAAAAAGGTGGGCCACAGCTTGGACACAGCTGCATGACTTAGATAGGATAGAGAAAACATCAAAGATAAATTTGGAATTGTTTTAGGGACATATAAACAGAGCATTCATATGCTAGTAGAAACTTCAGATGCGGAAAGTTCAATAAAAAATAGGAAGACCTCCAACAGTGACTTAAAAGAACTTGGCTTACAAACAGAAACCAAAGGGGTTTAGAGAAAAGCCGCCCAGATGTTAGCCAAGGTCTTTGGAGGTCATTCTCCATAGTCTTCCTCGTCAAAATAGATTGCTCTCTGATTCAGTTCTTCGTCAAGAGAGAAGTCCAATGGGGACTTCAGGGTCCAGCCTTTTACCCAGATCCTGAAGCAGATCTGCCCCACCTCTCTTCTCTTTTTGTGAATGGCCCTAAGCCAGAAATAGGGGATTTAATAAGCAACCAGAAACTAGAATGAGAAACAGCCCCTTGGGCAGACCCCCAAAACCTTGCTGAATGGCTTGCAAGAGTTCTAAAAGTTAGGGCGGGGGATTTAGCTCAGTGGTTTTGCTGCCTGATTCACAAGCGAAAGGACCCGAGTTCGATCCCCGGTACCAAAAAAAAGAAGAGTTCTGAAAGTTAGAAATTAAAGAAGGAAAAAAAGTCACTAATGAAGATGTTCAATTTCCTATTCTACTTTTAGACCCACAAGGAAACATTTCTCTAGTAATTAAAGGACAAGCTTACAAACTTTAGATTGAAATGGGTACAATAACATCAACAATAATAATAACGTAGCTGGGTGTGGTGGTGCAGGCCTGTAATCCCAGCACATAGGTGGCTGAGGGAGGAGGATCGCCTTGAGTTAGAGGCCAGCCTGGGCTACATAGTGAGTTCAGAGTCAGCCTGAACTACAAAGAGAGGCCCTGACTCAAAAAGACCAACCCAAACCAACCAAACAAAAAACCCCAATAATACTAATGATAATAATAATAATAATAATAATAATAATAATAAAATGTCCTTCTCTGCTGTACCAAACTCAGATACTCCTACCTGTTAGGTCTCAGGATTTACAATTGTGGATCAGTGGTATACTTTCTTTTAGATTAAAACAGCCAATACTTTTGTCTGTCTTCTCCAGAGAAGACAAGATACCTGTTCACTCTTACCTTTCACTCAAAGCGTTCAGCCAGATACCCAAAGCGATTCTATTCTTTTCTTTTTTTTTTTTTTTTTGACAGGGTCACACTATGTAGCCTAGGCTGGCCTTGAATTTAGGAAGACAATTCTCCTGCCTCAGCCTCCTGAGTGCTGAGATTATAGGCATGTGCTATCAACAGACAAGTTATCAGTTTGTCAAAGGAAAGACAAGATTAATCCCATAGAGGTAAATCCTGTACTCCACACAACCAAGTGTGCAAAATGCTCCAGACCAATAAAGAAAAGATAACTATGAGGATTCCTGGGTCTTACTGGCCTCTGCAGGCAGCACGGCCCCAACTTTTCTGAAATTTCCATGTCTTATTTGACTTAACTCAGTAACACTCTCCCCTGGGGATCCAAACAAGAGCAGGCTTTTTGTGTGTGTGAGTTAAAATGAGCTCTTCAGTACCATCTCTCTCTGGGCCTAAATTATGAACTTTTCAACCTGTAAGTTTATGAGGGGCCTCACCAAGTCCCTACTTTCATGAGAATCATCAAGGTCAGTAGTTTACCACAGCCTTTCCACCAGCCCAGTGGTAAAAGCCTCTCTGCCTGACTAGGGCAGCAGCTGTCTTCTTTTGACCTGGTTTTAGGGCCCATGGCGGTATAGTCTTTGGTGGTGTAGTCTTTGGTGCTCACTGAAAAGACACATTTCTCAACAAATGCGCCTGCATCCTCTGAACTCCATACTTCCTAGAGATACTACTAACCCCGTCAAGGCTCTTCCTCTGTGGTAAGCAAAAATCAGTTTGGCACTGCTCACTTTCTGTCTGTCTGTCTGTCTCCATTTCCTGGGGACTGAATCCAGGGCCTTCCCACAAAACTACATTCTCAGACCTTTTATTTTTTATTGGGAAACAGGGCCTCTAAATTGTTAAGGTGCCCAGGCTGGGCTTGAACTTACAATACTCCCAGTGTGCTGGGGTTAGAGTTCTGTGCCATGACGCCTGGGTCCAACTTGGTTTACTGATTTTGTGTTTTTGAGACTAAGCCTGCCAAGGCTCTGTGGTCCAGGCTAGCCTTGAACTCACTTTGTAGCCCAGGCTGGCCTCCAGCTCAGGGCTCCCCAGGGCTGGGATTACAAGCATGAGCCACCACACCCTTGGTCTATTACTAAACTGTTAGCATTTTTGGTGAGCTGGCAATATAATAGCAATCTTTATCAGAATTTGTTCTGAGCTCTCATCTGAGAGATTTCAGATTGAAAAACAGCACCACACTTTCTATTTGCCTTTTATATTGGCTGGTCCTCAATATGCTTGACCCTTTCTCCCCTGGTTTCCAGCAGGGACTAGACCCTGCCACTCCAGTGACCAGCCTTTTTCAGAGAAGTTTCGGCCTGTAGGAACAAAGAGAGGATCTGTGATTGTCACATTTGCCAATGTGAGGCGTGAAGACTCTGCCCCTTCCCCAGTGCCCACATGTATATGGGAGACCTGGACAAAGAAACACACAAGGCTGCTTCTGCTGTGTTCTGTACCCTGGGAAGGGGCTGGCAATGAATGCACTGTGGAGGACAGAGGGGAAGTTTCCTGATTTTCTGTCAGGGCCACCTCCTTTTTCTCCACTAGGCTGTCTGCTCTGGGAGCTGACTCCCAGGAATGCAGGGGTGGAGTTGGGGTGGGGATCACAGTGTGTTTTCCTGCCACACTGACCCAACCCCTCTTTCGCAGACAAATCCAGTTCTGGCGACCATCAAGGGAAGCCAGAGGCTAACAAAAAGCCAGCTGGACAAGAACAGGCTAGGAGGGGTTTATGGGCCAATTGACTAAATGGTCTCCAAATTCCAACTGCCAGAGCTGTCCAATTTTCCTCATCTACCTTCCCGCCCCAGGAGTTTAGGGGGGGTATCAGGTGTTCCAAGCAGCACCCAGGGAAGGTAGTTTTGCCCCTAAGCAAGGAATGGGTGTCCACAGGGGAGTTGGGGTTAGGTAGCAAGAGGAAGGCTGTCAGCAACAGCTGACCTCCAGAGGAAAGGTAATACGGGTTAGGCACTGTGAAACCCTTTCCAGTTAGTGGCGCGCAAACGTGAGGCTGAGTTTCCTGGGAACACCTAAGGCTGCGGGGCAGGGCTGGTGACCTTCGCGCTGGGTACAAAGTGGTCACTTTCTAACTCCTAAGAGTCTACGTGACAGTTTGGCCTGACCTTGCTGTCTTGTGCCATCTTCAGTCTTGGCCAAACAACCTGCAATATCTTGTTTCGGGCAGGAAGCTGTGTCTTGGTACAGTAGTTCCTCGAGTGACGCCCTTAGTCCCAGTGTAGAACCGCGAGCCTTTGTCGCACCGGGGCGGGGCCGTAACCAGTCTCTCTGCAGGGTGACACGGTCCCTCCCTCCAGGCCCTGCCGGTTATCCTTTGAACTTCTGGGAACCCCTGCAGCGCGGGGCCAAACTCGTTTAAGACCCCACGAAGCTGTGATCACAGTCCTTAGACACTACAATGAAGAAACAAGTAAATATGAAGTTGCAGGGCCAGTTTGAGCCTTTCAGAAACCCAGGACGATCGAGATTCAAGCCGCCAGCAAGTGTCGTAGAATCAAGTTTTAAAGAGAAACGACGCTGTTCGGAAAACAAGAGCTGGGCATAATGGTACGCGACCATACTCCCAGCACTCTGGGGGCTGAGGCAGGAGGATCGCAATTTCCAGCCAGCCTGGGTAACTCAGCAAGACCCTGTTTCAAAATAAGACATAAAAACTGGGTTGGGGATGTAATCCTGTGAGAAGACCCTGAGTTCAATCCCGAGTACCGCAAATAAAATAAAAAACCCTCTCCGGATGGAAGAGCTCCAGGGGAGGTTCCCGGGGCGACCGGCTCCCCGTGCGGCGCGCACCCCCAGATTTGTGACGCGCGGGGGGCGGCGGCGGTTACGGGACTCCCGCCAGACTGGCGGCGGGGTAGGGGGGAGAGATAGAGCCCCGAGGGGACGGGGCGGGCCGGATGCCCGGCCGCGCGCAGCATTCAAGTGAGCTCGAACTCGGCGGCGGCGGCGGCCGCCGGTCGCGCGCCCGGCCGCGGTGTCCCCGGGGCCGCGCCTCGCCCC